GCAGTGTCACTGGCCCTCATATGTGGGATCCGAACCGGGGCCCTCTGGCATCCCAAGCGAGTTCTTAACCATCGCGCCACTCGGCCGGCCCTCACCTTTTAAAGTGATAGTTTTTCAGCATAAAAGTTAACGCGCACACATGTGTGATGTACAACCGCACAGACACAGGTTAACAGCCGCATTTATCAGCCTGTCGGCTGCTGTTGCCTGAGTTGTCTTCTGCGCTTTTCACACTTAGGCTTTAAACTACCTAAGACTTTTTTCCTGTACATCAGGAGGAAGGGGTCCCCCTTTTTTGTTTTCTGCACACATTGCCCGTTGTGCTCGCCCTGCTGGTGGAGAAGTGTGTTTTTTCTGCTTGGATGTCAAAGTGCTGACTGCACATGGGCTCGTGTCCGGGACCTCTTTCCTGTTTCTTCGGTCTTTTTGCCGAGACCACATCATTCAAATTTCCGCTTTGTTTCTCTCCACAGCGAGTATGACATTTACGGGTTTAGGACCGTCCCAGAGGATGACGAGGAAGAGAGGTTGGTGGCCAAGGTCCGGGCGTTGGACCTGAAGACCCTCTACCTCACAGAGAACCAGGAGGTCTCCACTGGGGTCAAGTGGGAAAACTACTTTGCGAGCACGATGAACCGTGAGATGATGTGCTCCCCGGAGCTGAAGAACCTGATCCGGGCGGGCATCCCACACGAGCACCGCTCCAAGGTGTGGAAGTGGTGCGTGGACTTGCACACCAGGAAGTTCCGGGACGGCACCGAGTCCGGCTACTTCCAGACCCTGCTCCAGAAGGCACTGGAGAAGCAGAACCCGGCCTCGAAGCAGATCGAGCTGGACCTGCTGCGGACGCTGCCCAACAACAAGCATTACTCCTGCCCCACCTCGGAAGGCATCCAGAAGCTACGCAACGTCCTGCTCGCCTTCTCCTGGCGGAACCCAGACATTGGCTACTGCCAGGGTCTCAACAGGTGGGTGCTGGGCCCGCGGCGCTCCCCTGGGCCGCTCAGGTAGTCTGTGGGCACCAGGCGCTGCCTGGCAGCATCTTCCTCTCCTGCCTAGCCAAGAAGAGCCCGTGTGTTAGGGGAAGGAGGGGGTGCAGCAAGCTGGCTTTAGTCACGCAGCCTCCCCAACTCCAGAGCGATGGAGAGCAGCCAGCATGCCTTTAGAAAGTAGTGAGAACACCAGTCAGATTCACCGGGACAGCTAGAGGTCTCATGTTTCCTCCTCGTGGTTCTCACCACGCCTGGGTTTTCATCACAAGGTTGGCGTCCTTATTATCCAGAGCATGATTTGAGGGCTGGGGCCCCTCCCTGTGCAGCAGCGTCTTTGTGAGTGAAGACGTGCCCCAAGCAGTTCTTCAACTGGTTAACATTAACCCCTGAAGTCTGAGACTTGTTTCTGCTGGACCAGAGTCTTCCTGCCGGCCTGCACACTAGCTTGCTACCCAGACAGGACCCTGAAAGCCTCTGGCCTCTCCTGACCGACGCCAGTGCCCCGACCAAGCCGGGGCAGGACGAGGCCTCGGGAGGTCCTGCAGCCTGCTCCCCTGGCGGCTGCCCCCACGCCGGACTCTGCTGTGGTGCTTTGTGCCCTGTGTCTGTCCCTTATCTGCTCCTGCTCACTGCTGTCATCTCAGGGGTCTGTTTCTGTCACTCTGTGCCTTGACAGTAGATGACCCAGCCTGTGAGAAGTGTGACAACAGGAAGAATGTGGCAGCTCTGTGTGCATTCTCGGGAACTCCCCTGCATGGCTGCGCTTTGCGCTGACGTGTGTGCGGCTGCTCACGGGACTTTTAACCCTCACCCGAGCCCACACTGCTCCACACGAGGACTGGCTGTTTGCAGCTATGATGAGCATTGCAGGGAGCAGACACTTCCCAGGAAGTTCTTGCCTCTGTGGTGGGGAGGACAGGGCAGCATGTCTGTGCCCTGAAAGGAAAGGGACTCGGGCTGCCGCTGTCTGGTCCCCATTGAAGAAAAAGCCTGTGATAGAATACTGCCTATGGATACAGCCTGTTTTGCCTCATTCACATCATACACTCAGTCTGAAAGTTCCTGGAAGCTGAAAAGCCCTGAACCCCAAGGATCGGCGAGGGCAGGAGCCTGCCTTTTTGGGGCACAGCTGCCTGGCGCTATCTCTGCTCTGCCACACCCATCACCGTTAGGCCTCTAAATTTTAACCCTTTTACTGGACTTCTTTTTTTTCCTTGACACTTTGTACACGACCCTGAGAACCCACAGTTTTCGTGGGAGAACGTTAGCCTTTTGTGGTGACACAGACCTGTCATCTTGGCTGTCCATCCCCAAAGGCTCTGTTGGCTTGGGACCCGTCCTTTTTGTGCGTCCCCAGTCTGTGGCTTTGGTTTCTGGGCCTGTGTGTCCTGTTTTTCTCCTTGTGCATCTCTGCCCATTGTCACCTTCCTACTCTCCATCTCACTCACACCTTCAGCCCACCCACCCCAGGCCTTTTTCTTTTAACCTTTTAATTTTAGATAAGCTCATTGTAATTTTATCTAAGGAAGGAAAAAGAAATTATTCTGAGCGATGGCTTCGGGGGCTTTCCCGTGAGCGATGCACAGAAGCTTCCAGTCAGAGGTCCTAGACTTCAGATGTGGAGAGGGGGGCTTTCCTCTGCCTCTTTCTTCCCTTTGTCCTGCCCTGAGTGCCCTGTTGCTTGGATCCACCCCCGGGATGACTGGATAAGGAACCTCCTGACCAATGACAGTGCAGTGGCCACACCCAAGTTTCCCTCCCACTGCAGAGGGTCCGTTTGCCTGAAGTTCCATTTCAAGCAGAAGGGCGTCAGGAAAGTTGTTTTGTCTCTTACATCAGCCCTGGATTTTTTGTGTGTGTGTGCATAGAAGGATTAGTTGGAACTTCTTGAACAATGAACTCAAAGGATTAGGTGCATTAGCAAAAATCTTGCAGCAAAAACATTTTCTTTTTTTTTTTTAAAGATTTTTATTGGGGAATTGGGGGGGAGGGGAACAGACAAGTCGCTGTCGTTTTGTTCTTCAGTCTAGTTGTGGAGGATGTTGCTTCACTGGCCCAAGCCGGCACCATCATTGCGCTCTTCCCGGGCGAGGCAGATCAGTCGCCGGCTTCTGGACGGCCGCTCACTGCGGCTGCTGGCCGCTCACGCTGGCTGCTGGCTACACACATGGTAGCCCATGGCAACCCACTGCCACAGGGGCTGCAGCCTACGCCGTCGCCGGCGACTCACGGCAGCCCAGCTCCAGGTTGAGCTGTTGTTCAGCATCTTAGCTGTGGAGGGCAGTGTCACTGGTCCTCATATGTGGGATCCGAACCAGGGCCCTCTGGCGTCCCAAGCCAGCTCTTAACCATCGCGCCACTCGGCCGGCCCAGCAAAAACATTTTCTTAATAAGGCGGGTTGATCATTGGAAAACAATTTCATCATCTTTAACGAAAACCAAATAAAAGGAGTGGGGGCGGGAATGTAGCTTCGCTTCTCAGTTTAAGAACACGCACGAACTAGCCAGAGCTGTGGCCGGGAGAGAAAGCGGCAGGTGCGTCGTGAAGGCGGCTCACCTTGTTCTCCATTGGCTTGCAGGCTGGTGGCGGTGGCCCTCCTGTACCTGGAACAGGAAGACGCCTTCTGGTGCCTAGTTACCATCGTGGAAGTCTTCATGCCTCGAGACTATTACACAAAGACTCTTCTAGGATCCCAGGTACTTCTGACAATATTGTGCTTTCGTCACACCTTGTAGAATGAAAGCTGAAACGTGTCCTGGACTGAGCCCTGCCAGGGGCCTCCCGTGCGTGGCTTCAGCCCTGATGGCCTCGGAGACGGGTGTCCGTGCGCGTGTGGTGTGGCCAGCACCCTCAGCACCCGGTCTGGCAGATTGGCTGTTAGAGCCCCGTGAGAAGCAGACCGCCCTGCAGCCGCTGCTCCTGCTCACTGCTCAGCACCCTCCCTGGGCACAGCCTGCTGGCACCGTAGGGGCCCGTCTCCACTTCCCGGCCGGCAGCCCTTCTCAGGTCACGTCCAGCCCGGTCACTGTCTCTCTTGACTGCAGCTGTGCCTGTGTCTGGGCTCCATTGTGTCGTCTCCCCAAGTTTGTGCCCTGCTTGGTCCGCTCACAGCCTCTCCTCGCCCCCCTGCCCCTCAGCTCCTGAATCGGCCAGCGGAGGCCCTGGCAGGAGGGAGCCAAACACATTTCTCCCTTCGTGCCTCGTGGGCACTGCCTGTCAGTGGCTGCATCTCCCCCACGGCACCAGCTGCTGTCCGGCAGGTCCCTCCGCCAGCAGGGCCCTCCCTGCTCCAGCCTGGGGCTGGCGTCCTGCCCTTGCCTCTCAGCTGCCTCCCTATCAGCTCCTTGGCTTCTCGGCTGTTGTCACTAGGGCGACCCCCTCCCTGGGTAAAGTCCCTCTGTTGTAAATATCTAGAGTGGCCTCTGAGTTTTACTTTGGTGAGGAGCTGGGCTGAGGGTCACACGGCCGTCTGAAGCCAGGCCCTCCCTCCTGCGAGCTGTGGCGCTCGGGCAGCTCCCTTACCATCCCCGTGCCTCAGTTTCCCTATCTGTAACATACACGTCATACCCCCTCCTAACAGTGTTCGAGGTTGAATTCAGGTGATGTGTTAAAAGAGTTTAACTTAATGCTGAGAACATTGTCAGAATTCCATAAAATTATTAATAGTTATAGGCAGCAGGGGAAGGCCTATTTTATGTATGGGGATTTAAGATAAAGTCCATATCACACTGTCACATAAACATAAACGCAAATGCTAAGGAGACTTTCCCCAACTATAAAAGTAACAGGTGATCAGTAGAGATAAATTACTTAGTGTAGACAGATTAAGAAGAAAGTCAGAGGGCCGGCTGAGTGGCTCAGTTGGTTAAGAGCTCGCTCAAGAGTTTGAGCTGTGAGCAACAGTGGTTCGAGTCAGCCCGAGCTGAGCAGCCGCTGAGCTGCCAACAGGTGGCAGGATGGCTCAGCTAAAAAAAAAAAAAAAAGAATAAAGTCAGCATCCCCTGTTACCCTCCCAGTTAGCCACAGTTAGCATTTGATATATTTCCTGTTTCCTCCCCCAACCCCAGTACATTTAGGTGTCCAAATTGAGAGTGTGGTGTACATCAGCCGGTTCCCACGATGGCAGAGCGTTTGCCCATGCCACCATGCACATTTTAACTGTCGTGTGTGATGGTTGTAGTGCTCCACAGCTGAACGCATATATTGCAGTTGACCACGGTCCCCTGATGGAGGGTGCATTTGGCCACTCCTAAAACGGTCAGCCCAGTGTGTGCTGTGCAAATTGCTGTCACCCTCCCCCTGCCTGGACGAGTGCCGAGCCCCCGGCCACGCTCTTCTAGCCCTGCCGCTCGGCAGCTTGTCCGTGCACTCTGGCATATGGGGGCACATGGTAGACCAGGTCCTAGCTCGGCACTGAGGACACGGAGGTGGGGGTCATGCTGTCATTGCACGTCCCCCCAAGGCCAGAGCGAGGCCCAAGCAAGCGTCCCTGACCAGCGGCTGCACACACAGCCAGGCCCCTGCCAGGGCAGCCTCGGGTGCCAGGCAGCACCTGCCACCTGACTCAGGGAAGACTGAAGGGGGGGGCTCCCCCTTCAAGGCGGCCTTGCAAGTCCCACTTCTCAGGAGTCATCAGCCCGGACCCTCCAGGCGGAACGGACCATGTGGCCGTCACTTGGCCCTGTGGTCAGCTGTCCCTCTCCCTTGCCAGTTTACAGCCCCTTAGAGGCAGCCCCTGACCCCTATTGTCTGTCATGCTGCGTGTGCAGATATAGTTGTCATTTGAATGTCAAGGGACAGAATCACACCAGCAGAAAAGAGGCACCATCACTAGTCACTGATGCTGCCCAGTGGAGGAGCTGGGTTTCCGGGGGGACTGGCCAAACAGGACGTGATTTGCCCAAGGCCACCAGCTAGTAAGTGAAAGCTGAGCTTCCAGCTCAGGTCCGCCAGACCCTGGAGTCCTTACTGCCCTCACCATCCCACACAGCCCAGTAATATTTGTTGAGGGGATGTGGTGATGTCTCACTTCCTCTTTGGCCCAAGTTGAGTGGCTGGCCCTTTGAAGCCGCATTCCTGTGTTCGCGTGGCTTGGTGAGGCCGACTGTTCTGCTCTCAATGGGCATGTTGAGTGCAGCAGTGGGCGTCCAGCCACAGACCCATCCTCCCTGTGCCCTGTGGAAGGGCGGCCATCCTCGGGCACTCGATGAGCAACTGCCATGTCTTGCCATGCACGATGGACCTAGCCCCTCCCCCCCTGCTTCCCCCAGGTGGACCAGCGAGTGTTCAGGGACCTCATGAGTGAGAAGCTGCCACGACTACACGCCCACCTGGAACAGTACAACGTGGACTACACCCTCATCACATTCAACTGGTTCCTGGTGGTGTTTGTGGACAGCGTCGTCAGTGATATCCTCTTTAAAATATGGGACTCTTTCCTGTATGAGGGACCAAAGGTGAGTGTGCCCGCTGGGTGACTGGGCAGCGTCAGTGGTGGCAGGGTGGCTGGCTCACCTGGGACATGCATGGGGGTCCCCTGGACAAGAGCGATCCAGCACCTGTGCCTCTGGAGGGGGGTTGGGGTGCAGGACATGGCCGTCATTTGCTCGTTCACCAAAAACATTTAGCACAAGTCCTGGGCCAGGCACAGGGGTTTGATGGTGTTCAGCCTGAGCCTCACCCCATTTAATGATGGTGTTGTCCCCACTGTGGGGGAGAGAAGGCGGAGGCCCAGACAGGCCCAGAGATTAGCACACAGAGGATCGGGGACAAACTTGGGGGCCATCACCCCACAGATCACTCCACACTGTCCAACACAGTACTTTAATTGAGTCTGTCACTGAAAGAATTTTCATCCAGGGCCCTCACAGTACTTCCTGCTGGGCCATAGGTGGGACCGATAAGAGAAAGGTAATGTATTTAAATGCTGTAAACACTGCTTTACACTCAGAGAAAGTGCAGGTCAGCGCAGGCCAGCCATGGCCTCCGATGTGGGCAGTTTGTTCCAGGGCTGCTGGAACTTGCAGGACCACCAGGCGTCCAGTCCCTCTGGCCCCAAAGACAAAGAGTGAAGGAAAGTTATTCTTCGTTCTCTCTCCCCACGTCCCAAAGCCATCGACTCAAACCCTGGTTCCACTCGCTGAAATAAAACTGCCTGGAGGCGCAGCTTGCTCAGAGTTTAGAATCCACCCTGGTTTCCATTTTACTTACTAGATCCTTCACTAGAATTGCTTGCTGAGTGTGGGAGGATTGCACAGGAGGTCTGCTCTGGAGGGACATTTTGGGTTGGGCTGGAGCATTGCTGCAAACCATCAGAGTCCACTTTTCTGCAAGAAAGGGCCCTGCCCCGCCAGTGGGCGTGCGCCTCAGGTCTCGTGGCCCCACGGCCCTGGGAGGCCTGCCCAGCCCCTGGAGCGACGGTGCTTCCCTGCTTACAGACCCCTGTCCTTTCCACAGGTCATTTTCCGTTTTGCCCTGGCACTTTTTAAATACAAGGAAGAGGAGATCCTGAGATTGCAGGATTCGATGTCCATATTCAAGTACCTCCGATACTTCTCTCGCACGATCCTGGATGCCCGGTGAGTCCTGCGGGGTGGCCAGATGCCCAGGAGAGCGGGGTCCTGCCCTCTGCTCCCCTGTGAGCAGCCCATCCTTCCATGTGAGGCTCAGCCTCCCCAGGTGTGCAGTGAGAACAGGAGGAAGACTGGGAAAGGAGCGTGCACTCCAGGCGTCTCCAGAGGCCAGGGAGGAGCTAAGCAGAAAGGCGTTTTATCCTCTAGCCAACAAACCCAAGTGCCAACAACCAGAGCAGTAGGTGTACGCGTGAAGCAGGTGTTTACTGAGTGTCCGCAACACAGCAGACCTCTGCCAGGGATGGAGCGTGACAGACGAGGAACAGCCCCATCCTTGCAGGATTCGGGGGGACATTACAGCATCGTGTGCTCGGTGCTGCGATGGACACGTGTAGGGTGGCCTGGGCCGGTCAGAGGGTGCTGAGGAGTTGGCACAGATGTGGGAGCAGAGTGCGGGCACCTGTGACGTGGCTTGGCCAGGCATTGACCTTGCAGACTGCGCCCGCATCTTGTGCTTCTTCCTGAGTGCTGGTGTCACGAGAGAGCAGACGAAGGGGTATGTCAGGTTGGAGCAGGAAGGGCCCTGAGAGACCAGGGGTCCAGGTGGGAGGTGGTGCCCCCAAAGGCTTCTCTTCCCAGCAGTAGGGACGTACAAACCCCAGGGAGTGGAAGACCCCAGCTTTCCAGCCCTGTAGCTGACTGTTTGGGGGTCATCTTACCCCTACCTCTGCAGCCACGTGGTGGTTGCCTCTGGGCCACCACTGTCCGTATGTCCCCTGGACCACAGTTGGCGTCTCTGCCCTGGCAGTCAAAGCCCCATCCCCCAGAGGCCTGTACCTGGTTGGGGTGGTGAGGGCGGCAGCTCCCTGAACCATGAGGCCGTGTTTACTGTGGCCTGTTTTGGGGGGGATGGGTTCCTGCGTCAGACGTGTACGCCTGTGTGAAACCACATGAACCCTTTAATGGAGAAATACTTGGGGCTTATTAATGTTTTCAAAATTTTTTGACTGCAACCCATTGCAAGAGCAACATTTCTTGTCCCAATCTGGGACACACACAGCATCACGTGTAACTGGCACACAGGAATTTGTTGAAATTTTTGTGGGTTTTGGCCCAGATCTGTGCTGCACACGGATGTTTTCTACCACCTGGTGTGTCACGTGCTAAAAATGCTCATCATGACTCACTGAATCGATTCCTCCATCTACTAATGGATACAGCCCGCTTCAGAAACGCCATTTGTCCCCATTAAGCTCACCTGCCCAGCCAAGAGGAGTGCAGGGCCTGTGTTGGGGGTAGAGGGGGCTAGGACCGTGCTGAGCCTGGGGCTCCCCTGAGCGAGGCCATGGGCCCCGGGAGGTGACATTAGGAGAGGCGCTGGCTGAGGCCATCCCTGGCTTCCTGGAAGTTACCACTGTTTTTAGGATGTTTACTTCAGAAAAGTGGATTTTTAAGATGTTTTTGGACTTATTGATATGTGAACAACCGTGACCTAAGTTTTGTCAAATGAAAGAGGCCATCTGAGAAGATTTCCCCGTGAAAGGTAGATTCTGCGTCCTGGATGGACCTCAGGTGTTCGTTAGTGTCACTCACATCAAGTCAGGATCACAGGATGGCATGAAATGAACGTCACTGCAACAGCTGACGCACGTGCAGAGCATTTTGGCTCCAAAGCTTCCCCCCCAGGCCCCTGACAGTCAGGTGCAGATTGTGGGTGCTGCCAGGCTGGGGCACATGGGGAGCCCCTGCCCACTATCAGCCAGCCTCTCCACAGCTGTCCCGCGTGCTCCCACAGCGCCACCTTGTGAGGGGCTGGGGTGCAGCTCCTCACCAGTGGGCTTCAGGAAGTCAAGGTCACTGGACCAGGAGTTCCTAGTGCATCACCCAGCCAGGCCAGCCGCAGAGGACCACCTGGGGTTGTTAGGACTGTGGGTGTCTGGCCCCACCTCTAGACGGGGCCCCAGTGTGACACCAGTTCTGCAAAATGGAGGGTGGGAATTCTGAGCCACGTGTGTCAGGGGATTCGGGTTAAACAAGCCATCCCGTCTCTGGCAGGACTGCTGGAGCCTTTAACACGCCAAACACCACCTCCTAACTCAGGTGACCACAGGGTCCTTTCTCATATCTGGACAGAGGCGGCATGTGACTTCTGTTGTGCCTCAGCCGGCAACAACTGACTCTTTGAAGGACTCAGTGAGAAACGTGAATTTAATTTAGTGCTTTCTATACCAAAGATGGGGCCACACCCCAAGGTTCAGGTTGGAGAGCCTGTGACCGACAGCTGCAGGGAAAGGGGCTGGTTGTGTGGCCTGGTCCCCAGCCAGCCGGCCGGCACTTGGTCTCTCTGAGCTGCTCCCCAGCCCTGTCAGCCTTGCTGAGCAGGAGGCAGTGAGGGTGGCTGTGTCCAGGCCTCTCCTTCTCACATGTTCTAGAACACACTCTGGAATGCAGCGTGAGAGCTCCTCGCAGGAGGACCCTCTGGGTAGGAGTTAGGTTTATCTGCGGAGCAGGAGAGAGGAGAAACGTTGAAGGCCTGTGAGCTCTGACTTATGTGCGCCTGACATGCAAGTGGCCTGAGCATCAGAAAGAAGCAGGAGCAAGTGGCTTGTCTCCTGACAGAGACGGGGGCCTGGGGACACTCTGTCCCCTCACGGCCTTTCCTGGGGTGTACGTGTATCGGGCCTGCAGAATAGGGGGACCAGCCTCTGTTGTGATCCAAGAGACGGCTGTGGCTGGTCAGTGCTGGAAATCCAGCCAAGCCTCGGCTGCTTTTAGGTCTGTTTTTATTGAACCGCTGACCAGTGGTTAGGGACAAGTTTACCGTGGTTTTAAAATGTTTATTATAGACGTGTGTCTGACCTGGGGATAGTGTGACACATTCTTCATAGGCTGTGTCTCAATACTTGTCACCCCGGTGGCAGGTCCGACGGTTATCACCAGGTTTGCCTGGGCACCTGTTGGACCCCTCCCGTCAGTGCTGTGGCAGTCTTCCTGTGCCAGGCCTCATGCTGGTGCCCAGGACTCAGGCATGACCGCTGAGCAAGCACCAGACGCTATCCTAGTGCTCGCGGGTGGCAGCTCAGTGACCCCACGCCTTGGTTGTACCCCCATGCGCAGTGGGGAATTGGAGGCCTCAAGGGACCATCGCTCAGCAGTGGGCGTGGCTGGTGTCTGACCCGGCCACTGTCCTGGGCCTGCCCTGTAGCCTCCGGGCGACGTCCGTGCATGAGGCCCGGCGTTCCAGGGCCCGGGCCTCCGCGTGTGAGCATGTCCTGAGTCCCTCTGACGCGGACACTGTGTCTTGTGTCCTGTGTCCTGGCAGGAAGCTGATCAGCATCTCCTTCGGGGACCTGAACCCATTCCCCCTGCGTCAGATCCGGAACCGGCGTGCCTGCCACTTGGAGAAGGTCCGGCTGGAGCTGTCGGAGCTGGAGGCCATCCGCGAGGACTTCCTGCGTGAGCGGGACACCAGTCCTGACAAGGGCGCGCTGGTCAGCGACGAAGAGGACACTTGAGTGGCCCCCGCCCCGTGACGCTGGTCTTCTTGCCTGCCAACCAAAGCGTGCCAAAGGGTGAACCGCAGGGACGTTGGTGTCATCAAACCAAGAATGTAACCCACGTGGCCTCCGCAATCTGCTGGGCAGCTGTCCAGAGCCACGCTGCCCTTTCCCAGTTCCACTCGGGTGGGGTCTCACCTGTTTACAGCATCTTCCTGCCGTGCATTTGGCCACACGTGTCCTGTCACATGTTTGATTGATCGGTACACGGCCAGGCTTACCAGTCGGCTACTCCCAAGAGCCCGTTGACAGTGTCCGTCAGCCGTGGCGGTGTCTTGGCCCTGAGAAAACTGCACACGGGCCGCCTCCGCAGCGTCTTCTGACCTTTCTCAGCCAGAGTGTGCTGCCCCGGTGGCAGAAGGTTGGTGTGAAAAAAGGGACTTCCTTAGAAAAGCAGGCACATCCCTGGAAACAGCCTAGAGAAACCCCCAAACCTGCTGGTGGCCTCACACTGCCAGCCGTGCCCCAATTCTGGAGTAGCTTTGCCCTTTCGGCCTTTCAAACGGTGGCTCCCAGCCCGCTGGGGGTCGGCCTGGCTCTCGACACCACACTCCTCACCGCCCGGCATTGGCCGATGGTCGGCTGTTGGGCCCTGCCTGCCTGGCCTGGCATGCCCACGAGGTCTGGCGGGAAGCTCTGCTCATCTGAGCAGTGGTCTCAGAATCGTTCTCACGCACGATGGGGAGGGATTCCGGAAAACTGGCTTGTCGTCCTGCAAGGCCGGCCCACTCTGGGCTGCCTTAGTCAGGGGGACGCAGGAAGCTTCCTGGGGGCTCTGCAGGGCAAGGGTGCAGCTGCTGAGAGAACACGGGGCACCCGGAAACTGGCTCCCTCGGGAGCAGCCAGGGCGTCTGGTGTGCCCTCCCCATGGCCACCCGGAAGCCCCCTCCCCTTCCCCAGGCCAGCGCAGGCCTCACCGTGGGCCACCACGGCCTGCAGCATATCAGGCTGCCCGGGCCGTTCTGGGGGCTCGGAGCACCACCTTTTTAAAGCCCTGGAAGGAGGCTTTGCACAAGGAAGCCTGTGGACCCTCCCTGATGTGCAGCTGTGAGAGAGTGTTTTCTGGCACAGCATTACTCAACTAGGAAAGAGGCCGTTTTATTTTATTTTGTTTTTTTTTAAGCTGAGCCATCCTGCTACCGGTTGGTAGCTCAGTGGCTGCTCAGCTCAGGCCGGGAACGAACCGCTGTTGCTCAGAGCTCAAGCTCTTGAGCGAGCTCTTAACCAACTGAGCCACTCGGCTGGCCCTAAGAGGCCGTTTTAAATGGAGTTTTTTACACTACCCGGAAGACATAGGAAATCACTGTTAGTTGACATACATTAAACAAACTCCCACTGAGCGCTGAAGCGGCATAATCTGAAGACGTGCTTGTCTCTTGAGGAGCGTTTCTGTGTCTGTGACTGTCAGCCTCCCAGCCGCATGGTGGCCAGTTGCCATCTCAGTGCACCAGGCGGAGCTCGGCTTCTGTCTTTGGTTAAGTTGCTTCCTTTGCTTTTCCACTGTGTACGGGAGCTGGCCTCTACATTTAGCCCAAAGCCTTTGTCTCTTTTCAGGTATCAGATGTTTTCCATGCCGCGTGAGCAGCTGTTAGAGGCCCAGCCTCTTTCTTCAGGAAGTTGCCTGTGGGTCCTACGAGGAGAGCTGTGTGGCCTCACTGCTCTAAGGAGCCCCCGACCCCCGCAGGACAATGGGGCTGCTGGAGACGCTGCCCCCAGCCAGCTCCCACGGGACTGTCAGCCTGGGGGTGCAGTGGGAATGGGGTCGGGGATCCAGGCGCCCTGGCTTCCCTCAGACTTCAGTTTCCCAGTTGATTTAGCCATGGAACTTCCGTCCTGGGGCTAAAACAAGGCCTTTAGGAACAGGCTTGTTTTGCCTGTTTTTCCCACCTTAAAAGCACCTGAATTGGACCCTGGTGCCCCAAGTGGCCGGGCAGTGGGCGTGACAGCAGAACTGGTGGAGGAAGTGGACTGGGAACAGCTTTTGGGGTCCCCTCTGCGGGATAAAGCACCGGGCGTCCAGAGGGCGGGGATGGGTGCTGGCCTGATTCCAGAAGGGATGTGACGGGCCGTCTCCCCTCCTGGACTGTATGGTTCAGTCCCACTCTTTTGAGCCAACACTCCTTTCTTGTGCCCAACACCCAGGCTGGCAGCTTTGGGCCAGCCTGCCCACACGCACACGCACCCGCCATGCCCCCCGGGAGCCCCCAGCGTCACACAGGTGGGAGCTGCCAGCTTTACGTTGGTGGGTTTTTATTTTGTTTTTTTGTGGGTTGAGCATCTGTTAATACTTTTGTATAGTTCACTACAGTTTATATTTTTATAGGCTATTTTTATCAAGGTTTTTCTAGGTCACGAACATCCATTTTATATGACAAGTTCTTGTGTGCACGGCTCCCTTGTGTGTGTGTGTGTGTGTAAACCTGGACCTCCCCAGTCGCTTGTAGTCATGCTGACCGACCGCTGTTCAGCAGCCGCTGACACCGTGCTCACTGCGGACGATTCTGGTTTCAGCTCCATTATATAGGAATATCTTAGGCAAATAGCCACTCCTCTTTCTTTTTTAACTAAATGTTTGTATTATTGCATGGCTCCCTCCCCCTCATGTGTGCTCGTGTTCTGGGCAGCTGGGCCTGCTGGGGGCCGTCCTTGCCGGCCGGCCAGCCAGAGGTTAGATGCCTGTCCTGGAGGACTGGGGTGGGGGACTGCCAAGTGACGCTTGCCTTTTATGTCACAGCAGCTTCCATGCTTATCTTCAAGTTAAATTTGGGGATTATCATATTAAAAGATGAAATAAACTACTAATTTGTATAATGTTCTGGCATAAAACGCAGTGACTGTCACTTGTGAGGGGCTCAGCCCCAAAGGCATGGAGGGGGGCGGGCTATGGGGGCCACTCCGACCTGCCCGCTGGGTGTTTCTGGGTCCCTGCGCTTGGTTTGCTCTGGGGCGGGTGGGACAGGATGCCCGTGTCCACAGTGGCAGCCCTGGGAGGCCCTAAGCCGCGGCCAAGCTGGGCCTCAGCCGGGAGCTGGGAGCAGGAGCAGCCCCCAGCCTAGGTGGTAGGCAACTCCCCTCCCACCAGCAGTGACATGCCCTGCCTGAGTCACGGGTTGTTTGCCTCCTGCCTGGTATGACAGCTCAGGCCCAGCTGCCACTGGGGACACCCCCCCTCACCCCCCACCATTGGAAAAACACAGGAGAATGATTAAGACCAAATGTCCTTCCCTGGTGTGGGGGAGGAGGGCTCCGGGAGGCTCCCAGACGGTCCGAGCAGCGAGGACCTGGGGAATGGTCTCCTCCCAGGATGGGACACGGCAAGGCTGGGCTTCCCAAGGTCACCCAACACCACCGCGGTGGCGGAGCTGGGGCTGGACCCCCGGGCTCATGTGGGTCGGGAGCCTGTAAGCAGAGGCCGGCTCCCCGTCCCTGTGAGAGGCTGACAGGGGACAGCCCTGGAAGCCATTACTCAGCATGGTCCCCAGGGCCTCCTGGGCCGGCCGGGCGTCTGCACACAGACAGGAAGCAGGCCTGACACCCCTCCACCCTCGGACGGTGAGGTGATGCTTGGGCTCAGGCAGGCTCCCCAGTGACTTGCTCTTCCGAGTGTCCAGCCACCGTGGGGCCTGCTCGGGGCCCTCTTCCTTCCTGGTCTAGGGGGCGCAGAGCTCAGAGCGGGAGGTGGGGCTCGAGGCCTATGCGATGAGGGCACGTACCCTTGGCCCGTCACCTCCCTCTCCTCGTCTGAAATGGGGTGATGTGTGATCAGAGAGCAGCTGGCACAGCAGCACCCTGTTAGCACTGGGGCAGCGGCGTGCGGGCCAGTCCTGGGACAGACACTGCTGGTGTCTCAGCCTCTGGTGCTGTCCTGGTCTCAGTCCCCATGGAGCGGTTTTCAGTGCCCCCCACACGCAACCACGAGTGGACACGGGGCCCAGGGCGAGTGCCCTCCAGGACCACCACTCATAACAGTCTGAGTGGCACACACTGTAGACCGGGGTATGAGTGGGGTCCCCTGAAGGCGTGCATGGTGGGGGGCTGGGGTCTGAACCCCCTAGCCCTCAGTGTTCGCCATGGAGAACGGGGGGAGGTGACACCTTCCAGGAGCAGGACTTAGGGCAGATTATAAAAGGGTCAAGTCAAGGCTCCCAGCCCAAGCTGAGGGCTGGGGCCTGCAGAGGCCGCTTCCTGGAGGACGGCCTGTAGTCCTGTCCAGTCTGCCGCATGGAAGTGGGTTTGGCAGGAGGGGCTGTGGGGGGCAGGTGCCAGGTGGCTGGGCCCCAGGTCTGTGCAGCAGGGCCCAGTGTCAGGTTGGCAGTGAAGGGGCCTGCTGAGCCAGTCAGACCTGTGACCGGCTGGCCCCTTCCCTGAGCACCAAGGAGATGAAGGAACAGACAAGTGTGGCTGACCAGTGTGCTCCCTCCACCCTGGGGGCAGTGTCAGCAGCCCCAGGGGTAACAGCCCAGGGACGTGCCCATGGGGCTCCCTCCCACCACCACCATCACCCCAGGGGCAGGCCCCGCTGCTGACGAGATGGGCCTTGCTGATGGATGTGTGGGCCGGCCATCCCTGTGAAACACGGGTCTGAGGACCTCAGAAGGGACATGGGGGCTGGGGGCCTGAGCAGGGACCAACGCCCCTGAGCCTTTGCCCAGCTGCACCTGCCCCCCGTTACCCAGCCCTCGGAGCCCTGCGTGCGCCTCCTCCAGGCAGCAACCCCGCTCGGCCTCCGGGCCTCCTGCCCAAATGGGCGCCGTCGGCTTCTTCATCAGCTCCGGCCTGTCGGCCTCCCAGAGGAGCCCATGAGGAGGTGGCATTTCAGGCAGAGCATGGAGGGTGGGGGCAGAGTTTCAGACCTGAACCCCCCAAGAGGAAGCCAGGCTGCGCTCTGACACGGTAGGTGCTCATTTATGTATTATAATAATAATAATAATAATAATAATGTGTTACACAAACTGTGAGAATAAAAAAATACCTTTTTGAGAGGTTCCCCAGCCTGCTGCAGGCAGGGCCGGGATAGCACCATTGGGGCGCAAGGGGGTGGTGGCACTGAGGTCCGTGCGGCTGTCGGTAGATTGTTCGTGCACCCGGCCAGGGGTCAGCGGCGGGTGGCCCGCTGGTCGCCGCGGGAGGGGGCACCGTGGCCGGGCAGCGGGCACGAGCGGCAGCACTGAGCGCGTACGGTGGGCAGCTGGCAGCGGCCAAGCAGGCGCAGCGTCTCACAGAAGCCAAAGGACAGGCGGTCCCGCTCACAGCCTGCGGGCAGCACAGGGGCAGCTGGTTTGGCCCAGGCGTGGCCGCCCTCCTGCTCCGTCGCTGGAGCTATTCTTGGAAGCGGCTTGCTTCCAGCCCCTGACCTTGTCCCCACTGCCAGTGACAGCCCTCAGCTGCTGCCTCGGGCCTGGTCACTCCAGCAGCTGTCCCCGGGGAGCAGGAAGGCAGCAGTCAGCCCTGGGCCTGGGCGTCCCCCGGGCCCAGCAGAGGGCCCCGGGCAGCAGGCCGGCTCTCCCACCCAGCCTCGGGCAGCAGCTCCAAGCTACACATCTGCAGATGTGTGTGCTGTTCCCATGGTGACCTCAGGCAAGCTTCCTAACCTCCTGGGAGGGGGGCCCGGCTCCCTCCTTTGTCAATGCCCCCAGCTCCACAGGCAGACAGATGTGCCATGCTGTCAGCTGCCTCACAATAGTGACCTCACACCCTAGAGTCTCCAGGCCTTCCGATGTCCTGCCACACAGACCCACGAACCATAAAAACATCCTGGGGACTCCTGGGTCTCAGCAGCGTCCTAGTCACCTCCTGGCTGGCTCCAGCCTTGACCTCACGTGGAGGTCACGGCTCATGGCTCAGCCACCTGACCTCCCCGCAAATCCCACCCTCTCCCCCACCTGGGACCATAGGTGCCCAACTTCCCAGAGGCCCTAAGCCCAGCGTGAGCAGCTGAGAGGGGCAGTGACCCAGCTGTGCCCTGAAGGCAAGTGCTGGGGCGAGTGCAGGAGGCACGGACGCTGCCACATGAGTGCTAAGGGCACAGTGAGGACACGTGCGGGCAGGTGGTGTTTCTGCTGGACCCTGAGGTAATGGATTTGAGGCAGGAAGGCACAGCAGGGGCCTCTCGGGGCCTGGGCAAGGGTTGCCAGGAGCCCGCTGCCGGTGGACAAGGCAGATTGGGGCAGAGCCCGGAGGCCCTGAGGGCCGCCAACTGTCCTGGGGGCCGGGGGGCAGATAGATAGCTGACCGGCAGCCTAGGCCTGCTTCCTGACTGTATCTTCCCTGGCACCTCTGGGCCCTTCACCCCGAGTCCTCACTGAGGCTCCCCCCCAGGGATGGGGGCTGTCAGCCCTTTTATGCATGAGGAAGTGGAGCCCAAGGCCACAGCTGGTGAGGGGAACCCAGGTGGATGCTAGGGTGTTTCCTGTGCTCAGCACTGCTGGGAGCTGGGCTGCAGGAAGTGTGTGCGTGCGTGCGTGTGTGTGTGTATGTGTGTGTGTATGTGTGTGTGTGTATGTGTGTGTGTATGTGTGTGTGTGTATGTGTGTGTGTGTATGTGTGTGTGTATGTGTGTGTGTATGTGTGTGTGTGTATGTGTGTGTGTGTTCAGAGCTACTGCACACTCAGGCCCTTCCTCCAGGACCCAACTGGCCCAGAAGCCACCAGCTGCTGGGAGCAAGCCAGGCCCTGGCCGGAAGGCACCGCTCACTCTGGGCTGCCCTCCGCTAGCCAGCGCTGGGGCCGAGGGCTCAGCCAGGCCTGGTCTCCGGTGTCAGGGACATCCCTGGCCTCACTCAGACCCAGAAGGGAAGAGAGGTTGCCCGAGGTCACACAGCCTGCTGCCCGGAGCCTTCCCAAGCTAGGAACGCTGGACTCCCCTAGTCCGGGCCCAGCCAAGCCCCCGCTTCCCGTGCTCAGCCTGCTGTAGGGGCCACAGTCTGATGACTGCCGTTCTCCCACTGTGCTCCTAGCCCCCCACCCCGCGCGGGGTTGGGGCACTCACGTTGGGGTTCGGTGAGGTCGCAGTCCTGGGTGCCGCATGGCCGGGAGCTCTCAGGCCAGGCCTCGTGGCCACACTGGTCACTGTCCTCCTCACGCAGCCCTGTCTGGGTGTTGACACACTTGACCAGACGCCGCTGGACACCACCGCCGCAGGGGGCCGAGCACTGCGGGGGGCAGGGGGGAGGGGTGAGCAGCCACTGGGTCCACCCGGGACCTGACAGCCTCTCCTGGCTCCCGGCCCTGCGCCTGGGGGAGAGGGGGCAGGGCTGCAGCCCCTCACTCAGTCGGGGACAAGCCTGAGGGACCTGGGCAGGGATGGGGGAGCCGCCGTCCGGTCAGGTTTTGTTCTCAGCTAGGCTCTGATGTTTTTTAGAAAGCCCTAAATAAAGTTTAACCTGGGCCTTGTGCCAGGCCCCTGCTGAGTGCCACCCTGCTACTTCACATATCACAGATGAGGGAACAGCCCGCCAAGTGCCCTAAGTCACTCAGCAGCCAGGGGGACAAGGACCGAGATTCCCAAACCTGGAGCTCCAAGCAGGCCTGGCCGGGAGGCGTCCTGCCCACTCGACGCCTCGCTCCCCTCCTGCCACTCTGGCCTTAGGTAGTTCCCTGAACACCCCAAATCCATCATCCCGCCCCAGGACCGTGTTGCTGTCCCCCACATGTCCCCTCCAGGTCTCAATTCTGACATCCCCTCATCAGAAGGCCTTCCCTGATGTCACAGCACACATCCACTGCTTTAGTCTGTCTCTCCGCGGCCACCACCGTGTCTGCAGTGACCACAGGAGCCTGGCGCACAGTGGGCACTCAGCCTCTCCCCAGTGCTGCGCCGCGGGCTTACCTGGCCCCAGGGCCCCACCACCCACTGCGTGCACGGCTGGGTGTTGCAGGGCCGCGTGCTGTGGGGTCTCAGCGCCTCCTCGCACAGGCCCGGCTCCGGGCAGGTCACCAGACGCTGCTGTTCCCCGCCACCACAGGCCTCGGAGCACTGGGGGAGGATGGCAGGGGAGGGCTCAGGGCTCGACCAGGGCCCGGCCCCCCCCCACCCCTCATCTCCCCGGGCCTCACCTCCCTCCAGGAAGAGGTGTACCAGCTGAGGCAAGGCTGGGTCCTGCAGGGCCGGCGGGCGGGCGGCTGGGCAGGCCCGGGCTGGCAGTGGAAGGGCCGCAGCGGCCGGAGGTGCCGTGTGTCCACACACTGCACGTCCCGCACAGAGGAACCTCCACCACAGCTGCGGGAGCACTGTGGGCCAAGGACATGCATGTGCTCACACCACCGCGTGCACGCACACGCGTGTCCCGATGGGGGGTGACTCAGGGCAGGCATCTGACCTCCCCTCAGCTGGGCTCATCCCTGAAAGTCCCAGGGGCTGCCTCAGCCTCAGAATGGGATGGAGGGAGAAAGGAGTCAGTGACAGTGAGGTCCCAAGGGGTTGGCAAGCACAGAGAACAGGACACAGCAGCAAGACGGGGCTGGGGCAGGTGACACAGCACAGAGGCCAAGATAAGACAGACCAGTAGTTAACACAGTATGAGGCTGCCCTCCCACAGGGATCTTGCCGTCTGCACACACCTTACTCCAGTTGCCCGCGTGCCAGGTGGCACAGGGACGCAGGTGGCAACGACGGGCAGGCTGCGGCCGGCCAGCCGGGGCACAGTCATCCTCCCGGCCGGAGCTGCAGCGCACGAGCCTCCAGACGGCCCCCAGGCCACAGGTGGTGGAGCACTGTGGACAGAGCCGGCGGCCATGAAGCAGGCAGGGTGGCGCCCCCCACCCCCCCGGCCCTCAGAGCCGGGGGACCACCCACCAAGGTGAGTGGAGCCTCGGCAGAGCCAGGGCCTCCGTTTCCTCATCTGCAGAACTGTCTCCTCCGCCTGCCTCCCGAGGAGACGGTGAGGGTGAGGGGTCACGTCCCCTGGCACCACCGCCCCGGCTCCCAGAGGACCCAGCCATCCTTACAAGGCTTACTGCTTCCCAGGTCCCCCTGGGAAGGAAGGCTGGGTTCCTCACTGGGCCTCAGCCTGTCCCTCCCACCCCAAGATTAGGGATCTGAACAGAAGCTCACGTCTCCTGCAGTGACAATCGGGGGTCCTTGCGGGGGCAGCTTTGTTCCAGGCCACTCAGACCCAACAGAGCAGGGGAGAGCCAGGAGGGGAGAGCCAGGTGGCAAGGCCAGGTGAGCCGTGGGAACCCTGCTGGGCCCCCTCGCCCCACCCCCACTACTCAAATGGGAAACTGAGGCAGTGGGGTCCTGTCCACCCTGTCCACCCAGGCTCTGGCACCACTTGCCTCACTCCAGTTCCCCACTTCCCAGCTGGCATTCCTGGCCGGCGGCAGGTCCTCAGGGGGCCCCTCCTCGGCCAGGCTGGGGTCCAGAGTCTGGGCCTCGGGGGCTCTGCTGCTGTTGGCTGCACTGTCAACAGCTGGTATGGACAATAGCACTGAGCTTGGGGGCATCTCAGGGCTGGGGTGCTTGGGATGGCCCAACGGTCCTGGACTCAGGGTGGTCACCCAAGGCGTGTGTCCTAGGCCAGCGGGGGCTGTCAGAAGGAAGGTCCCTGGCACTGCCGGGGTCTGCAGGTCCCATGGAGCCAGTTCTGCGGTCGGGACGGTGGGTGCCCCTGGCTCCAGCGGGCTGTCCCTGTCCTGGGCCTCTGACAGAGAGGCTGTGGGAAGAAAAGGAGGGGCCCCCCCCACGGTAGGCCACAGCTCATGGTCCACAGGCCTCAGGCCCCCTTGCGGAGTTGGTTCCCAGGCCACGGTCCCAGTTGTCCACCACTCGACCGTGTCAGGACTAGGAAAGGAGTGGCTGGTGCTTGTGAACAAAGGGAACAGTGGGGTCTGGGGCAGCGGGGGCGCTGGATGGCCTACGGCCTCCTCGTCCTCAGAAACCTCATTGGTCCACTCCCACTGAGGAGGGGGTGGCGGGCTCGGACTGAACTCCCCGCCCAGGAACTCGTCTTGGTCCCCAGGAGCAGCAGGCGTCGCTATGCCACCAACAGAAGCAGGTGTCCAGGGCAAGCTGGAGAGCCCACGGTCTGGGGCCCCTGTGGGGGAGTCTTCCTCAGACAGGAAGTTGAGCAAAGGGTTCCTCGGGGTCTGCTCCGAAGGCGGGGGCAAGGAGCGGCCGGCCTGGCTGGGCCAAGGGGCAGGGGACTGATCTCGCAGTGTCCCCTCCTCCTCAGCCCCAGGAGGCTCTGTGGCAAGCCCGGGGGTGCCCGTGGGGGGCTCAGCAGGACTGCTCAGGGGTGGGGGTGTCCAGTGCCCTGTGCCCGCCGGGTCTGGGCTGGGCTCCTCGACGGGTCCATACGACAGGTCCTCGTGGAAGTTGATGAAGTTGTAGTCGTAGTAGAAGTCATCAACGAACACGGGCCCCGGCGGGCCCAGCTCGGGCCCCTCCTCCTCGATGGTGTTGCCCCTGCCAGCCGGCTCAGGCGATGACGGGGGCGGAGGGCGGGGGGCCAGGTGGGGCGGGATGAAGTCCACCTCGTTGTACAGCTCGTGGCTGAAGGAGCCGCTGCCCGAGCCTTCAGGACCCAGCACGTCCAGGGCCCGCAGGCAGGACGGCAGGCGGCAGGTGGCCTCGCTTGCTGGCCGCTGGGCCTCATCGCAGGGGACACCGGTGTCATTGGTGCAGAGGACACTTCGGTACTGAGTGCCCAGCCCGCACGTCACTGAGCACTGCAGGGGAGGCCAAGGGGAGGGGCTCAGGCCAGAAGCGGGGCCAGGCGGGGTACCCTGGCCCCTGCTCCGTGTCAGGGCAGCCAGCCCCCTCCAACCCCGTCCGGCTTGAGTCCACGGCACGCCAAGGCATCCTATTCCCCAAGGTTTGCGGACAGGGGTTAGACCGGAATATCCCAGCCTCTCTCCCACCATGGTGCCTGGCAGTCAGGGCTCCCTGAAGTCCGCTTCTGCCTCCCTGCAGCCCGAGACCAATGGTGGAGCTGAGGGCAGGCCTCTCCCATCCTGATGCTCACCTGAGACCAGTTCCCCGTGACCCAGGTGGCTGGACAGGCCACATCACGATTGCAAGGGGTTTCAGCAGAGGGCCGGGGCAGGTGTTCGCAGGCAGACGGCTCCAGGGCGCTCTGCTCGTCCAGCCCTACGCTTCGGATACAGAGCACGGCCCGGCGGGAGAGGCCCCCGGGCCCACAGGAGCTGGAGCACAGCTGCCACTCACCTGCCCACCACCTACGGGGCACAGGTGGCATCAGTGTGGGGCTGGCTGGACTCCCAGGCACTCGGCCCAGGTCTAAGCCCAGGGGATATTGTCTCCAGAGCTCCCGCCACCCTCATCCCAGGCCCACACAGGGACCCAAATGCGAGTGACCAGCGAGTGACATCCCAGACTGGGGGGAGGGGGCAGCCAAGGGCTGGGGCTTCGGCACTGGGAAGAAAGGCCAAGAACCCGTTTCCTCTGCTCCCCCAGGGGTCCCCTGATGTGGGCCAGCAGCAGCACCAGGGCTCCTGGGGGTGGGGTCGGGGGGCTCACCGGGCGGGGCAGGGGTCCTCGCTGCACTTCCTATGGCGGTCATCGGGCCGGCCCAGAGGGTCACAGTGTCTCTCGTCCACAGGCCCTACCTGCTGCTCAGTGCAGTGCACGCTCTGCCTCTGCATACCTGGGGGGACTGGGAGCTCAGCCTGGGCTGGGCAGCCAAGGCCCCTGCCCAAGCCGCCCTGCACACCCACCCTGCTCAGAGTCCTCCCAGAGCTGGCCCCCAACCCCACCCGGGGAGGAGCCAACTGTGCAGCTTCAGGGGCCTGGGGCTTCCTAGCTGGGAGGCCCTGGGCAGCTCACTCGGCCTCTCTGAACCTCGGTGTCTTCATCTGTAAATGGGAGTGACCATAACCCCTGCTGGAAGCCCAGGTGTGAGGGTGACATGTGGTCACACGTGTGCAGGCTCTGCAGGGTGCTCGGCGCCTGGCAAGAGCTCACAGTGCCAGCTGCTGCTTGCGTACAAATCCTGCTCCGTCCCATTTACTCTCCCAAGGGACCTACGAGATGGATTGCTACTAGCCGCATTTTACAGATGGGGAAAACCGAGGCTCAGAGAAGCAACATTCCAGGCTCACGGTAGCCCCACAAATACGCAGCGAGCGGGAGGCTGAAGCCGGCATCCCTACCCAGAAGCTAAGACCCCCTCCTCACCTGTGCCGCAGGTGACCGTGCATTTAGTCCAGGGCCCATAGCGCCAGGAGAACTCGGGTGGCGGGCCCAGGCCGGGGCCGTCGGCGTCCCGGTGGATGATGTACTCATAGCGCACCCCGGGGTTGCTTTCCTGAAACAGCAGCTGGGAGGCAGGTGGGGACCCGTGAGCACAAGGTGTCCTCTCTACCTACCCCCATAGTGACCATCCTACACGAGCCGAGCCAGCCACCCCTGGGACCTGGGGCCACACCCTGGGCCACCTTAGAGACGGGGAAACCAAGGCAGAGGCCCCAGCAGTGGGGCCAGGGGACCGCCTTCTCCTGCCATGGGGCCTGGGTCTCCCCGACTCTCCGTCTGTTCCCCTGCCCGGGCCTCGGGAGGCAGGCACCTGGATCCAAACAGGCTCGTTGGTGGGCCCCGGAGACGTCAGGTTCTCCCAGTTGCCCGTGCGAGCGTACGTGAAGGTGGTGCCCGCCACCTCGTACTCCCCGTTCCATTGGATGGTCCAGCCACCGTTGAGGAAGTACTTTTCTGGGTCCTCGCTTCTCAGGGCCAGGAAGTTGGCAGCCTCAGCCACCTCCTCGATGCGGATCTCACGGGCGCCGGTGGGGATCAGCCCCACGTCCACGTACCCTGGTGGCCGGGGGTGTGCAGAGCTAAGCGGGCCGGCTGCCCCACCTCCTCCCTTGCTTCTCTCCACCAGCTTAAGGTTCTGAGCTCGCCCAGAGGCAGAGATTTACAACTGTCCAAGTCACCAGCACCTCCAAAGGGCTCTTCTGACCCAGCCCCGTCCCCCTGTTCCCCAGACCTTATCTGGTCTCTGTCACAGGGCTGGCCCCTCCCCTACACTCGGGGCCAGTACGACCATGCTGAAAAACCGCGTGGACTGGGCCTGTCCGTGTGACACCTCCTCCCTCCTGCACAGCCCGTGTGCCCTCTCACTTCAGAAGCGCCCGTCACGTGCCTGGCATTGCTCTAAGCACTGCACACATGTAACGAGCCTGTGACATAAGCACTGCTGTCATCGCATGTCACAGGTGGGGAAACTCAAGCCCCTTGCCTGAGGGTTCTGCTGGGTTCAGCATCCGGCTGGGGGTCTGAGCTGGAGCCCCCGAGGGCCAAGGGCAGGGCCTTGGGAGAGAGGAGAAAGGGCCACCCTGCCTCCCACCAGTGGCATGTCCATACCCAGGCCTTCAGCCTCCTGGAAGGTTCCGCTCACGGTGTGACAGGTGGACCCATTGCCTTGGCACACGCCACAGCGGTCCTCAGTGGCGCCTGAGTCAATCTCGAAGTCACAGCCCACGTTCTGTAACATGCAGAGGGGCGGTCCCTGGAGCTGGGGTGTGGGGTCCTGCCCCCCACAGCTGTGCCCTCTGACCCCAGGCACGCCCCTCCACGTCTCCGAGCCTCAGTTTCCTCGGGGGTGAACTGGGGAGATGCATCTGTGCTGTAAAGGTGTGTTGCGAGAGCCCATGTGGCGAGAGGTGGGAAATGTTCTATGAAGGGTACAGGCCCCTGACCAGCGCGCGTGGGACTCAGTGACAGAGGCACCGGGCCGCCCTCCCGCTGCTCTTCTGCTGAGCCTCTAGCCCCAGTGGCTTCACCACCCAGAAGCCGCAGACAGCAAGTGACTGGGACATGGGCACGGAGGTGAGGCCGCCGCTGTTGCTGGAAGTAAGAATGAGCATTGCCAGCAAATGCTGACACTTGCTCCGCCAGGCTCTGAGCCCCGCCTTCCAGGTAGCTGCCTGTTAAACGACCTCATTTAACCTGGTGACGTGAATATGGTCCCCTTTCTATCACACAGGAAACCACTGCCTGGGGTCCTCCAGCCAGAAAGCCGGGCGAGCTACCACTTGGGCTCTAGTTTCTGTCGGGGCTGTGCTGAGCCAGCCTGGGCGGGGGGGGGGGGGGCCCGCAGACAGCCAGCGTGGACGAGGACACCGTGATGCAGAGACAGAGGTGGGACCCGACTGTGAGGAGGCTTTGCTGAGAGGTGATTGGGGGCCATCAAAGGGCCTTCCCGAGCTGGGAAGCCCAATAGTACAGCCTGGGGACGGTGTCAGAGAGTCATTGGAGGGACCCAACGGAGGCCGCCAGGGGTGGGGGCAGGCGCTGTTGGGGACCCTTTCCCATGGGGCACACCTTGCAGATGCCATTGACACACAGGTCACGGCCGGCCTGGCCCTGGTAGCAGGGGGTACCGTCGACCACAGCATCCCGCAGCTTCTCAGCAAAGTACTCGTTTGACGGCCGGCAGTGCAGCTCACAGGGGTTCACTGGGGGCCCAAGTGGAGGAGCCATGAGAAACAAGAGGGCAGGAGCCAGGGAGGCCACCAGCAGGACGGCCTCCATGACCTGCATCGCAGCAACCCAGAGGTACGGTGGGCCAGTTGCTCTCTGCACGGCTGCAGACGGGCAGCTAGGACAGTGGGGAGCAGCCCAGCGCTGTGTCACAGCTAACTCTGGGCCCTGACACCCTGCCCTGCAGGGCCTCAGGGTCCCCATGGGCAGCAGGACTCACCGTCGTTGACCACAGGCACCCATGTGTGCAGCTGGCCCTTGTATAGCATGGCGTCAAAGTGGCTGCACTGGACGTGGCGGAAGGAGGGGCGGCCAGCGGGGCAGTTCTGCAGGCTGCAGAGGCGGACACGCTTCCTCTCCCCAACGCAGTACTTGCCCTTATATTTGGGCCTGTGGGGAGGGCCAGGTGGTCTGAGTCAGTAGACAGAGTCGTACTACGCACCTGACCTTGGACCCGAGGGCCCACTGCGCGCCTGACCCGGGAGCTGAGTGCCCACTGTGCGCCTGACCCGGGAGCTGAGTGCCCACTGTGCACCTGACTCAGAAGCAGGCCCTCTAAGTGGTCAGCTCCTCCTGCATCCCTTACCCCTGACCACAGCTACACCAGGAGGGCCCTGCTGTGCCCGCCTCAGGCAGGTTCCCTGGGACCTGAGGCCCAGGGAAGGGGTAAAGCAGCCCTTGCACAGGGGCAGGGGGGAGATTTGAACTCTGACCCATCTAAGGTCCAGGGTCTAAGCTCTTGGCCACTGCTCCCTCCTGACCCCCTCCAGCCAGTTGTTGCTTTGTTATGTGGCCTCTTGAGTCCCTCCAGTCTCTGGGCCTTGGTGTCCTCCTCTCTGCAATGGGGTCAGCATGGGGACTCTGTCTGCCTGTGGGACGCTCCTACAAGTGACCCGAGGTGGCTGTGGACACTAGGCTTGGCCTCTAAGGACACACTTCTGACAGCGGGAGGCTGGGGCAGCGCCAGGCTCCCACAATCAGCTGCTTGCTCAGTGTCCTGGGTCCCACCTGCCCGGCCCCCGGTCCCCCAGCCCCGGTCCCCAGCCCACACTCACACAGGCTGCGTGCACTGCCGCTCGGCGCTCTGCACACCCACACCACAGCTCCGCGAGCACATGGACCAGGCGCTCCAGCCCGACCAGCCACCATCCACAGCCTCGGGCCTGAAGCCCACAGGGACACACTCTCCGTTCAGACACCACTGCCGAGACACGCAGAGGTACAGCAGCCACCCCAAGCCCACCAGTCATCCTCACCCTAGTGACAACGAGGGGCGTGGCAGGCCTAGAAAGGCACAGAGGGCAAGGGTCGGAGGGGTGGGGGAGATCCCCTTCCACCCAGGGTGCAGCTGAGCGGAGACCAAAACAGCCATGTGCTGGCTTCCCGGGCTGAAGACCCCTGGGAGAATCGCTGACTGCAGCTGTGCCCCACACCTCCATCTGCACAGGGGACTTAGGCCCGGGGGCCCTGGGGGTCTGTGAGCCAGGCTGGGCCCGAGCACGGACAGCGCGACGTCTGCCTATCACCCCCACCTGCACAGCTGGACCGGGGCACCCTACCTTGCTCTCCCCGCACCTGGTGCCGTCCACGGCCGCATCCAGCTTGGAGTGACAGGTGGTCCCCACAGAGCACCAGAGCGTGTGACAGACATTCTGCAGGAAGAGGGCATGAGCCACACTCACCCCTCCCAGGGCCACCACCCGCCCTGCCCCCTCGCTACCCCGAAGGTCCCCTGGGCACTCCTGCATGGGCTGGCACATGCTGGGGCTCTGCAGATGGGACCCCAGGGGCCCCTCTTGTCTTCTGTGGACGACGTGGTGCTCCGGGGGCCCTGACCCTTGGAGCAGCCTGCAGCCTACCTACACCTCTCATCTGGAAAGACCCCAGTGGAAGCTGTGGGGTCTTGGTGACATGCCTGTGGCCATCACTTTGGTGACCTTCCTCAGGACCACTCAGGGTAGGTTGACTTCCCAGAATCCAGCTCTGGGAGAGGGGGGCTTGCCCACAGGGCCCCACACTCACGTCCATGCCATCGCAAAAGGCAGAGTAGGCTCCGTACTGGAGGCGACACTGGTGGCTGACGTCATAGAGGACGCCGGGCGGCACAGAGGGGAAGTCGATGACATCCTTGGCGGGAGTGTCATCCAGGCACACACCCCAGCCACGGCTGCAGAGATGGGACAGGAGGATGGGGTGAGGAGACACCTGTGCCCTGGGGCAAGGGGAACAGCCTGAGCGACCTGTCAGGAATGCCTCAACGGGCCAGGAGGGCAGCGGTGGGAAGAGGCGAAACACCCAAATTTGCAGGAAATCTGCACCTCCTTGCCCCCCCAACCAATCCTGTGACCTCCGTCTCACCTCCTGGGCACTCCAGTCCAGCTAAACAACAACCGCCCAAGTGCCCGGCCTTGTCACGAGCTGTCCCCTCCCCTACAATGCCCTTCTCACTCCTCTGCGGTGACCAGAGCCCTTCCTTCAGAAGCCTCCTGGTCCACCAAGCCCTCATGTGGCCCGGCTCTGAATTCCTGGGTCCTCCAGCCCTCAGCTCGGGGCCTGGACAGCAGACAGGGATCTGGACAGCGTCACATCACAGCTGACACAGCAGCACGTCCCTAATGGCCCCAGTGCACGCCGAGACCTAGAGTCACCTGTGCGATGACCCAGGCCTAGGAGAGCCCAGCCTCTCCTCACTGGACCCCATGCATCACCGGCCCCAGGACAGAACAGGGTGATGATGTCCAGCATTCGATGCGAGACCCAGGCTCCTGGCGCCCATGGGCATCCGCTTACTGGGCTGTCCCCAGGGCAGGGCTCCTCCATCCAACCACAAGCTTCGCATCCAACACTTCACCCCAAATGAAAGTTCAAAAAGCCTGGCACCGAGGCCTGGGCAGGACATAGGAGTGTTCCAAGTGCTGGCCTCAGCCTGGGGGCAAGTGGGTCAGCTGGCCGGGGCCCCCCGACTCGGGTGGGACATGCCTCAGCCCCACCAGCAGCTCCCAGGACACAGGTAGCCTGTTTCCTGCCTGGGACCCAGTGCATGTCAGCTCCTGTAGGCCTGCCAGTGGGTAACCAGAGCAATGACAACCTATCAGGTCCGTCCCATACGAGCGTGACAGGGTGGGGGCACAAGGGGGCCTCATAGGTCCCACTGCCAGAATTGGGGCCACGTTTCAGCCCAGGTGCCGGCCGACTGGAAAGTCGGAAACGACTGTTCCACTTCCGTTCCACTGTCTACCTGGCCACGGATGCTGTGTGGCCTTGGGCCATCCCACACCCTCTCTGGGCCTTCACATCCTCATCCACAAGAGGCTGAAGCTGCCTGTGTGATCTCACGCGAAGGAGGTATAAATAGCAGCATCTACTTGGGGAGAGTCACACGGCGGCGGCCGGCAGCCAGCCTTTCCTTCCTCTGCTCGGCTCACCGCCAGGCTACGCACAGGACTGACACACCCGGAGCCCCAAGTCCATCGGCCCTTCCCCTCGGGGCCTGTCCTCACTCTAATTATAGGGGGGGGCTGGGCAGCCCCACATGGGACAGGCACAGAGGATGGCAGCAAGGCTGGCACAGAGCTGCTCACCTGAGAGACCTCCCCTCGCCATCACTGGCCCCGATCGTGGAGTCGCCGGATGGCGGGGGTGTGGGATGCCGGGCAGGACACACAGTCGGGCCAGCCTCTCTCTAGCAAGAACCCTGGCTTCCAGGGCACGAGTGGGTGGGCCTCCCCTCCCCGCCCCCAGCCCGTGACACCACCTACGGAACCGTCTTCCTCCGGATGCCCCCTGGGTCTTTAGAGGGCTGCATGAGGTCACTGAGCCCCTCTTCAGATTCCTACACACCCCACAGGCCTACCTGCTACCTTACTAACCACCTGAGCTGCCGGCTGTCACATGTCTGCCCCCCTGCAGGTGGCGAGGGCCTGAGGAGGCGCCTCCTCCGTCTCCTTTACTGTACACCGAGGAGCACAGGGCAGGTTAGGGTTTGTTGGCACAGCAGGAGTGCGGCTGAGATCATGTGGGGTTCACTCACGCCTGGGTCTGCGTGGCTGAGCTGAGAACAGTCCCCTGGGGATGGCCAGGTGGTCCGAGCACCTCTGAGCCTCCTTCCCCCAGGCCAGGGAACGCTGCCCGACCCACCCGGCCCCATCTATGAATGTCACTCATTCTGTCCCGCACCCTGTGTGGGTGGGGTGAGTCCCGTCTCCCATCCCGCCCCCAGCAAGGACATGGGGCTGGCAGACAGGCTGGTACCACGCTCCCCGTGCAAGTACCCCCTCCTGGCACCTGTCCTGGGCCCTGTGACCCCGGCCCTCCAGCATGGACAGGTGAGCGTGTGGGCCGACCTTGGGGAGATGAAGTCCCCTCCCAAGCATCTTTCTGCTGGCAGCACGTGTCTGTCTTTCTGCCCCCACCCAACTCTTTTGGGTGCTGAGGCTCTGGGAGGCCTGGCTGACTCAGGCTGTCGCCCTTCCTCCCACCCTCACGCAGACCCTGAGCCAAGTCCCTCATGCATTCCAGCCGCTGAATGGACACAGAGGCTCGTCTGTCTGTCTGTCCTGGAGCCAGGGTGCTGGGCGGCTCCCTGGGTGGGGGCAGCTGGGACGGGCCCTGGGCCTTGTGGGAGCAGCTACTGTTCTGATTCTGCAGCTAGTTCCCTGCCCCCACCTGGGGCAGGAGACACACGCCCTGAGGGTTTTTCTGCCCTCATCCCTGGGTTTTGAGGATTAAGGGTGAATGTAACTTGTGTGCCAACATGGGTGGGTAGAAGCCTGGGCCAGAGTCCAGGTCTCAGCTCTCCTCTGCTTCCAGTCCCCACCGCAGTCACCCCTCTCCTATCGGCTCTCAGGTCCGTAATGGACGTGGTCACATCCCTGCTTACGCCCCACAGGGAGGAGACTTCTAGGAAAACATGGCCCATCGAGGAGACTGATTTATCTCCACTGCCTTCCAGAACCCCACGACGATGATCGTGAAGGAACAAACGGCATAAATCCACAAGAACAAAGAGAAGGGAGAGGTGGCGATGGCAGAGGAAAGATGTCAGCAAAATTCTGGAAGCTGGAGAGCACATGGCCAAGTGGTAGCTGACTTGGTGGCCCAGGGAGAGCTGAGAGCCCAGGCCTCCAGGGAGGAGCCACCCAGGAGCAGAGCCCTGGACGTCTGGGCGCCCGGAGGGCTGAGGCCCAGAGCCAGCTCAACGTCTGGAAGCCCCATCAGACCCCAGATCCCTCCCCAGCCCTGCCTGGCTGAGGGCAAACCAGGAGAGCTGGCCCAGGAATGTTAGACACAGTTGAAAGCCCAAGGTGGAGGGACTTACAGAGAAAAGGATACGCACAAAAGTGTACACGAGGACGCGAGACACCTGCCAAGAAGCCTCTACCCCATTTGGAAGCCAGAATGCTGTTATCAGACTCACCCCCGCCCAGGAAAGGACTAGAAAATTCCTCTCTGGGGAACCAAATCACTCAGAAAATGACCCCGGACACTGACGTCTGACGATCTCCTTGAAGCAGCAGCTCCGTCCTGCCCAGTCCCCCAGTAGCAGCTCGGGGAAGTCCTACCCAGTCCACAACCTCCCCTTCAGCACCCCAGCGCCCCCTTCCAGGTCGGAAATATACAGCCACGCCATTCTAAGAAAACCTAAGCACCAAACAAATATTCTTTAAACATAATTCAAAGGGAAGACATTGCAGGGAACAGAATAAAATCCATGTAAGTAATAATGTCAGAAAAGGCACTGGTCCCGTGACGAACAAAGAGAATAATGAAAAGAAGGATTTGGCGGGAAAGGAAGCTAAAAGCACAGAAGCATGACACTGGGAACCCGGACCCCATCTGTGTCTGCTGCCTTGCAGTTCCCTCTACCTGGCCCCCTGGTGCCACTGTCTGGATCCCCTGCTCAGACCCTGACCTGGGGGTCACGTTCGGGGCCCCAGGGCAGAGGGCTTACTCGAGGAACCTGGTGATGTACTCTCGGCTGCAGTGGGACCAGGTGAGGGGCGCAGCGTCGTACAGGAGCTGTGGAGACATGATGAAAGGCCGTTTCCCAACAGGCTCACAGTCATTGCCGCTTCCGTCATGCTGAATGCCAAAACTGCGTGAGAGCACAGGCCCCAGGGGCGGGTGAGCCGGCGGGAAGCGCCAGCCCACCCTTCCCCGAGGCCTGCAAGGGGCCCCGTCCTGGTCCCAGGGCTGGCTCGGCCACTGAACATCTGTGTGGCCTTGTGAAAGTCCCTTCCCCTCTCTGAGCCTCCGTTTCCTTACTCCAGACTGGGGGTGTGGTGGCTGGTATCCCGCGGGCACTCCTGCAGGTGCACCAGCCTTGGCCTGAATGGGCGCCAGGGGCCCATAGCAGCCCTGCTCCGGCCCCGTCAGGTGGCACGAATGGGAGCCCTACTGGCACCAAGAACAGTCCGACAGAGGTCTTCCCACCCAGGCCCTTGTCCCAAGCTGTGCACTCGAGTTAAGGGAGTCTGAGTTGCCACATCACAGGAAAGACCTCAAGAGGCCATCCTTGGGAAGGACGCAAGAAAAACTGTATTTCCCGAGCACCTACTGTGTGCTGGGCACCGTACTAAGCACTTCAGAAATGCCACATCGCTCAGTCCCCAGAACTGCCCAGTGAGGCATCGTTACTCCTGGGGAGGCTCAGAGGCCAAGGAACCAGCCGAGGTGGCATAGAAGGAAAGGGCAGACTTGGGTGCAGTGTCCTTTCTCTGGCCACAGGCAGCTTTTCAAGGCCCTGCGTACGTGGCCGTCACCAGGGACCCAGAGCGTCTGAATGACAGACAGCC